GAACTCATATTGAAAGTTACTTTATGAATATAAAAGATGTGAAAAATTCTTTATTTCTTCCACATCTCTTACTATACATGTAAGAATTAACATTGGAGAGAAGACTTATGAATATAGGAAATGTGGAATAGCCTTCACTTATTCCTCACAACTTACTCTACAAGTGAGGAAAACAGAAAGGAGCCCTATATATGTAAGGAATATAGGAAATTCTAGCTTACCCTCCTCTTTTAATTATCATGTGAGTACAAACTCTGGAGAGAAGCCCTACAATTGTAAACAATATGAGAAATACTTCATTTATTCTTCAGATTTTATTATACACATGATAGTGCACATTAGAGAGAAATACTGTGTGATGGTTAATTTTAGATGTCAACTGGGTTATGGAAAATTTGAGAGAGCTGGTAAAGCATTATTTCTGGATATGTCTGTGAGGGTGTTTCAAGAAAGGATTGGAATTTGAATAAGTGGATTGAGTAAGGAAGATCTGTCCTCATTCAATGTGGTTGGGTACTACCCAATCAGTAAAGAGCTCAAAAAGGCAGAGGAAAGACAAATTTTCTCTCTTTTCTGAAGCTGAGACATCCATCTTCTCCTGCCCTTGGACATAAGAAGTCCAGTTTCTCTGACCTTTTAACTCTCAGACTTGCACTAGTGGCCCTCTTTGTTCTCAGGCTGTCAGGCTTGGACTGAGCTATACCACTGGCTTCCCTGGTTCTCAGCTTGAAAATAGCATATTGTGGGACTTCCCAGCCTTCATAATCATGTGAGTTGACTCCTGTTATATATCCCCTCTCATCTATTATCTATTTGTCTATCTGTTTCTTATCCATTCTGTTTCTCTGGAGAACCCTGTTTAATATACTCAGTGAATGTATGAAATGCAGAAATGCCTTCAGTTATTCCTCATCCCTTACAAAACATATGAGAACTCACACTGGAGAGAAATTTTCTTAATATAAGGATTGTAGGAAAATCTTAATTCTTTCAAATCAATGTAAAATTCACATTACAGAGAAACGATGTAAGTGCAAGAAATGTGAAAAAATATAATCTCTCACGCTTTACAGCACATATGAGAACACATACTGAAGAAAATAGCATAAATGCAAAGAATGTGGGAAAACAAAGTGAGAACTCATACTGGGAAATGTGACTGTAAAGAAAATCTTTTAGTTTGTCCTCATATTTTCAAAGACATAATCAAACTCACATAGGAAAGAAACCCAATGAATGCAATTAGTGTAGGAAACCCTTCATATACATCTGTTATTATGCATAAAATTTGATACCAGATGAGAAATCTTTAAAATGTTGTACATATGGAAGTGCTTTATCAGAGTCTCATCCTGGAAGTGGACTCTCAGCTCATAATTTATGGTTTTTATTTTTGGATAAAAACGTCTATAGTGATAACTATTATTTCCAATACCCTTTCAGATATGTCACACATCCTTTGATATGTATATTTTCCTTATGCTTCGTTTATTAAAAAGTCTCATTTCCATTGTGAAGTCTCCTTAGACCTATGGCTGAAGTAAGATGTATTTTTAATATGCAAGTAAGCATATTTATAGTTAGTGTTGTTCTTGTTTCTAATTAATTTCAATTATATTCAATGTATGTGGTCATTGCAATATTGATTTTCCTACTTGTTGGGGTTTTACTTCTGGTTTACTGTAGCAGATCCTAGTATTTGCCTATTTGATATCTATTCTCTCTTTCTTCCTTACTAAGAAAACTCGGAATTTTTCAAGTTATTTATCAATATTGTGGAAAGATGTATCTTCAACATGTTTTATAGCTATTATATTTTAGAAGTAATTGTCTTGGTCAGTACATAGTTATTGGAAAAGGATAGGTTCATCTGACTTGGTAACTTAGCATTTTGTATTTTGTTACTACTTCAAGTTGGATACAGAACTTCAAGTTGAACACAACACTTCAAGTTGAAAAGAGAGTCTTTGTCATCATGAGGATGAAAGCTAGGGATAATGATGGTTGTGCTAGATTGTGTTACATGAGGCTTAGAAATACATTTTCTAGAATTGTCTTTACTGTATACAGGTTAAAATGGGACAAAAGAGGAAACTGAATGAGATTTGTAATGCAGAAATGAAGAGGAAATGGATCTCAAAAGGATGTGGCAGTAGCAGATTGACAAACAGATCCAGAAGTACTCAGCAGTTCCAAATTTTAAGCTTGTCTTCCTAACTACTGGCTGTGTTAAGCATCAGCACTGAGTTCATCAACAAGCACTTAATTTCAGTTCCCTCGGAGATGATAGTTTGAAAAAACACCTCCATGAGCTCATCCTTCACGATCCCTCTTTGGTGGCTAGACTTGCATAGCTGCTTGAATTTCTTTGCAAGCTTAAACCTGTACACTCATAACACTGTTTCAGGATATCATGATTAAGGAATTTTCCTAATATTCCAACTCCCTTTTCTCCACATTTGTGAAAGGTCTAATTTCTATAATTAACATACTGTAGTTCTCACAGTATTTCTAGAGGCTGTGTTTCCCTGAGTCACACAATGTTTCAGAAAAAATGAGTAAACAACTAACTTTGTTGTCCTATTACATTATTCAATGGCTGCACTCTCCTAGCCCTGCTTACTTTTGGACTTTCCTAGGAGAGAAATAAGCACCTTGTTGATTTGTGGTGTATGTCATGGGATTTTTCTGTTACTAAAAATCTTATTCTAACAAAGAAGAGGTAGTGGATAATTTAGTTCCTCTCTTTGGCTCAAAAACTCAATTTCTTGGGCCACATTTTTAACAGTGTAAGAGACCCTGAATTGGCTCACTCAGCCTGAATTCTACCTCCTTCCAGTGAACTGTGGAAGATGAAAAGCCAAAAACCACATTTCCAAGACACCTTTACAGCTAGAGTCATGGGATCAAATTAGGCTCCACTGATTGGATACACACATGAATTTAGAAGGCAAAATTGAAGAGAAATATTTCCTTCTGCTTGTCTTACTCCAAATTCTCCTAAAATAAGACCCTATGAGAAAGTTTTGGGCACAGATAATTTGCTTGGGATATGATCTTAGGAATCACAGGGAGAGAGTGGGGGAAACTGAGACAGAGAAGTAAGAAAAACCACTGAAAGATAGGACAATAAGTGGGTTATCCCCATGTACATCCGGAGTTTAATTCCACTAGGAACTCTGTGTTGAAAGTGTCAAAGAAATGTCCCATAGAGTGACACAGTATTGATCCCATCAACTCTCAACCCTCATTTATCCCAGGGGTATTTAGTTCCTGGAACTTCTGAGATGCCTCACTTGTGAGTTGAGCAGTTTTATGACATCAGAGAAATCCCTCAAGTAGAACAACAAGCTACTGCAGTAGAAAATTAACAATTTAGCAGAAATAAAATTGAGCTTTCAGGTGAGTGAAGGGACTATGGATAGGACATCAACAGCATCTGCTACAGTCCATAGCTTCTACCAGTCAATCACTTGTGCCATACATTAAGTCCACTCTATTAATGATGCTTCAAGGTAGCAACTGGCCACAAAATATTTTTTAAATGTTAAAATTAAAATATTTTCCAGACTCCAATGCTACAGCTAGTCCAAAGACTCTTGTCTCCCTTCTCCACCATGTAGTCTAGGTTCCCCTTATTCATGACAAGTGCTTCTATTGGTCTAGGTCGTGTGCCTGGTAGTGTGACCCACATCTTCATCCCTGAGAGATATGAGCTTCTGGGACCTTGCTATTATCAGGCTATCATTGCTTTAATTGTCTATTGACTGTTATCAATAGGCATAGAAGCACCAAGAATCACCCAGTAAGTCTCCTGAGTTCCAGATATGTTCCTCCAAGCCATCATTATAAAGGAACAACCCTAAATCCTCAAGATAACCAATATCCAATTATCTTACTGATCTAGTAATTAATATTTTGCCTGCTTGTATACTGGCAGGAGACACCCCCAACTATCAGGAATAAGTCATAATTTTAGGTTTAGTGAAATACTTACTCTGTACTTTGATGGAAGCATCATCCTTTGAGGGTTAGGACCTTTAATCATATAGCCTACAGTCGCGAGGATTTGAAACACACATTTCTCAAGTAGGTCACTAGGATCCTTGATGAGAGGGGCCAATCCTACTTCCACTCTTTGATTCCCATATATTCTATATGATATGGAAATATTAGAGTATATCTTACACATATATTATTGTGCTATTGGGAACACAGCACAATGGTCATTGGTTCAACATACACATAGAATGAAAGAGCACAGTGACCCGATCATGGAGGGTTTAGTCCCCAAGAAAAACCCTAAATTTAGGGTTTAGTCCTTTAGCTGAACCTTTGAGGGACATTATAATGCTCTATCAGGGCAGAAAGTATAATGGAGTATGATGTAAGACCGGTGACATCATAGTCATGTGCCCATTGTACCACAATATGGATCCCTTGGGTCAAAGTTGATGTTATATTGAAACCTATACAATAAACACAGTATTTTTTAAAATCCTCAGACTGTGGTGCTGACAGAGGAATTGAGAGTAGAAAAGGCAAACTTCATATCTATAATAAACATCAGTCTAAGTAGGGACAAATTACTTCTCTGTCCAGGATAAAGATTGTCTGTTATGATCAATTTACCACTGAGTGGCTGTTAGTCTCCTCAGACAATGATAGCACATCAAGGACTCAGCATTGGTCTCTTGGATTCAGACATGGATTCAGCAGTGGATAAAGGTAGATAAGCTTTGGTGAGAGGGAGCCCTTGCTTCTAGACATGCATAGCCTCCATTCCTACCCCAGGGTCCATTGCAAGCCTGGGATGGTTGAGGACAAAGGTTTCCTAAATTCCAATAGGTGATTCAAATTATCCATCTGAATGAGAGTGGTCAAACATTAGTGTGGTCTGTCCATGTAATTTACTTATACCCATACACTTCCATTGATCCAATTGGTAGTAGACAATAGTCTACTGTCATCTGTAATAATCCATTCTTTTTTCTGTAAAGGTCATACAGGTGAATTGAATAAGGATATGGTGGGAACTACTGCTTTGCATCCTTTAAGTCTCTGAGAGTGGCACTAATCTCTGCAATTCCAATATGTAAGAGGTATGGTATGACTTATAATTCTATTCTCAAGGCTCTGGGAGAGAACAGTTTCAGGGGATTCCTCCCTGTTTTTACTCCAGAGGGAATTAACATACAAGTTCTGGCAGCTACTATATATACATATCCTCATTATGTACTCAGGGATTGGGAAAATTACCTTAAGATAGGCCTGCAGATACATTGGATCCACTATGATGAGCATGTGGACCCAGACTCCATTTATCAGCAGGCCAACAAATGCCCTCACTTTAGCAAAGGGTCAATGATGGCATTCTAGACCCCCAGTAACAGTGTCAGCTCAAGACCCTGAGCCTTCAAAAGATCTAGATCATCCCCATTCCTCAGTATAGTTAATCTGGTAAATGGTCATAGGTCCCCATTAAGAGTACCCCCAACGTTTGTGAAATGTATAACATATATGTGCTTACATTGATTATTCAGGGTCCTTCCTGAAGAGGACCTAGCATCCTCTGAAACTGGTGGACTCTGAGACTGATAATTGGTTCAAATGTGGAAATTGAGAGAAGGATCATGGTCTTCCATCATGATCAACATCATCGGGCTTCTGCTTACCAGCTCTTGATCATTTTTGGCTATATAAGTCAACCTCATTTGTTGTTAAAAATTAATGTGGAGTTTTAGTATATTATACTATTAGTATATTGTTAGTTTATTAGTATATTATTAGTTTTAGTATATTATACTATTCCCTGGGAATAGTATAGATTATTAGGCATTGTCACAGATCTCTGTGTGTTCAGGCCCCTGGTTGCAACTCCAACCTTGCTTCTCCTTCCAATAATTACTTGCGCTTTGCTTCTGATGGTTAAGTTCTGCCTCCTGGCTTCTACTATTTCATAAATGTCTCACCCACACTGCCGCCATCAAGGAGCCCTGGTCTACAGAGCACTGCTGAGCATTTCCACAATACTAATGTCCCTTCATTAGCATATCCCTAATGGCTTTAGTGAAGTAAGTATACCCTGAGATCTCCCAAAGAAAAGATTCTGTGAATGGGTTTTGTGGTGTCATGTAATAAATCCACTTTAATATGTTTGTTTCTTCTGACCCTGTTTTGAATATTCTCCAAGGCAGTTCTGGCATCTCTAACTTGTGTAGGCCACCATCATGCTCAAGCTTCAAGGGGCCAACCCAGCAGTATACCAGTATATAGTTCTTACCCCAAGCGTCATTTCCAGGAGATAATTCTGAAGTACAGGTGGCCCATGCAAGGACCACCAACGGGACATGCTCAACAAGCACGTGGGGAGCCAAGACAGTGGGGATCGGTGGGCAAGTGCCTTAATTGGTGGTCAGAGTGAAGTACTCAAGTAGAAGGTAGGAGAGGATTTCATTGGTGTGTTTTACAGTAGTCAGGGGAGGGCAAGAAGGGAATCTTGTGGCAGGGACCAACCTTATCACACTGTTGCATCTAATTGCCTGGGCAGGGTGCTCACAGCCTGATTATAGGTATGTTGAGGCTTCAGGAAAACATAAAATCTTAAAAATTCATAATAAACTTCCTCAGCCAAAGGTCTAACCTGCTAACAATAAAGATCAGCACTAAATCTTTGTGTTGATTGTATGGCAGAAGTGGCCATTTGTATGGCAGAAGTGGCCCCAGTGACCATTGCACCCATGACCTCTTTGGGGAATTTGTGATTCCCATTTTTGCAACTCTGTGGTCTGCAGGGTTAGAAGTCCTGGTCCCTAAAGGGAAACATCTCCACCAAGGGACACAACAAGATTCACAATGTACTAATAAGCTAAACCAGGGCCTTTATTCTCTGGGTTCCATGTGACCAGAGTCCAGCAGACAAGAAGAGTCACCATCTTGGCAGGGGTAACTGACATTGATCATCAGAAAGAAGTAGGGCTGCTATTACACAATATGGGAAAATATAGTTGGCATCCAGATGACCCACTTGAGTGCCTCCTGGTACACCCCTGCCCAGTCGTTTAGTAAGTGGATAATTGCAACAATCTCAGATTGAGAAGGGCATGTTGACCAGGGCTCAGATCTCTCAGGGATAAAGGTCTGGATTACACACCAGACAAACCACTGTGACTGGCAAATCTGCTAATGGAAGGTGAGTGGAAACCTAGAATGGATAGTGGAGAAGGGAGAGGATGACTATCAGTTGTAACCTGAGACCAGCTTCAGTGGTGGGAACTATAGTTCATCCCACTTAACTTTCTCTTCTAAGTTTCCTCCAGGAAGAGAGATGCACCAGAATCGTGAAGGAGCTCCTGAACGCATATGAAGAGGATCTGAGCAGCACAGAGAATGGACTGTAAGAACAAGGAGATGTACCACTCAGATCCCTCTCGCATGAAGGACCTGTTTCTGGGAGTGCTGCTGGGAGTTCCAGGAGTACAGGTACCCTTCAGCTCTCAACCCCTTGTGGGATCATCTCAGATCATACCTTGCCTCCATCTTCAGGTGGCAGTGGTGACACTAGATCATACATGAGCAGATCTGGAAAGCTTAATGCACCTACTGCTGCTGCATCACCACCTCTCTTTCAAGCTTCATCTATGGGCTCATTAGGAGCTTCCTTTGATCAGAAACTAAGGAAACTTTGAGCCTGATTTAGAAATATTGCCACACAAAAATCTGGTACAGCTATAAAGAGACTTTCGGAGCATTATATCCCACAAGACTGGCTCAGAAGAACAGAAGCCTACTGGCTCAGAAGGAAGCTCCACCTGAAAGGAAATACACCTGACTGTTCATTTTTCCTGAGAAAAGTTGGCCAGAAATATGGGTTTGCCTTTGTATTAGTTTGCTAGCGTACCTTAATAAAATAACACAAGCTGGATGATTTAAACAGAAATTTATCGTCTCACAGTTCTGGAGATCAGAAGCTCAAAATCAAGGTGTCAGCATGGTTGGTCCTTTCTGAGGGCTGTGAGGAAGAATTGTTTCCAGGTCTGCCTCCTTGGCTTGAAGATGGCCATCTTCCCCCTGTGTCTCTTTATATAGTCTTCCCTCTATGTGTGTCTGTCTCTGTGTCCAAATTTCCCCTTTTTATAAGGATGCCAGTCTTATCGAATGAGGGCTCACCTTAATGATCTCAATGGAAAGCTTAACTTGCTTATATCTATTAAAAGCCTATCCCCAAATATAATAACATTATCACATTCTGAGGTCCTGGGGCTTAAGACTCTAATAGGGAAGACACATTTCAACTCATAGGCAGCCACTGGGTATCAGGTTAATTACACTGGACTCATGGACGAGGCAGGGATCTTGCCTTATTGGCATAGACATTTTTTCTGGGTATGGATTTGCCTTCCCGCCCTCAGTGCTTCTGCCAGCACCATCTTCGTGAAATTGTTGAAAAATAAAATTGTCAGTTACAGTTTAATTCATAATAGCATCTTAGCTTTAATGCTTTCAGATTTATCTCTAAATGGATATATGTATTACATTTTAGTTTATCGTGCAAAAACATTCATATGTAGTCATTCTTCCAAATACAAATTTTAAAAGAAGATACTTTATATATTTTATCAACACAAGAGTTTGTTTTTTTTTTTGATTAAGCATTTAATTGACTGCTTGGAATGTAGCTTTTCCAAACATACATTATTTGAGACTTTAATTAAACTTCCATTTTAAACTTGCTTTAGTTGGTCATCTACCTATGACCAAATTATAGAACCCAAATGTCATAGCACTTTTAGAAGACTCAAATCCTTTTCTTTATTAATATACTTTTTTACTTTTTAAAATTTATACATATTAGATATACATATTTTCAGGCACATGTGATAATTTGATATGTTCCTATAATCAAATCAGGGTAATTGGGATATCCATCACCTTAAATACTTATTTTTTCTTTACACTAGGAACATTTGAATTATTCTCTTCTTGCTATTTTGAAATGTACAATTTCAAAATGTAAAATTATTAATTTATTTGATCTATCAAATACCATATCTTATTTCTTCTAAATGTATATTTGTACTCATTAATCAACTTCCCTTCATGTCTCCTCCCCCGTACCCTTCCCAGCCTTTGGTAACCCTCAATCTACTTTCTATCTTCATGAGATCCACGTTTTTGGTTCCCACATATGAGTGAGAACATGCAATATTTATCTTTCTGTGCTTGGCTTACTTCATTTAATATAATGAACTCTAGTTCCATCCATGTTGCCGCATATGATAGGATTTCATCTTTTTATGGCTGAATAATATCCCATTGTGTATATATACCACATTTTCTTTACCCATTCATCCACTGATGGTCACTTATGTTGATTCCATATTTTGGCTATTGTGAATAGTGATGCAATAAACATGGGAATGCAGATATCTCGTCTATATATTAACTTTCTTTCTTTTGGATATATACCCAGTAGTGGGATTGCTGGATCATATGGTAATTCTGTTTTTAGTTTTTTGAAGAATCTCCATACTGTTTTTCCTAGTGGCTGTACTAATTTACATTCCCATCAACAGAATGTGAAGTTTCCCCTTTCTTTGAATCCTCGCCAGCATCTGTTATTCCCTGAAATCCTAGCCTTTAAATACAAATTTATATGTACTACAATATGCTATAGTTTAAAATGGCAAACGAAGAACCAACACAAATAACAAATTTTTTAGTTGTCTAAATTTTAATTTCTGTAATATCTTTTGCCATCTCTTGATCAGACTCCTAATTTTTTCCCAGATGAGTATGAATACATAAAAAGTTCTTTGGTGACAGATTTGGTCATTTTTTTCTTAAGAATTTTGACCTGTAGTATTTTTAGATTACCTTTTGAGTCCCTAAGACTTTTCAATCAATATTTCTGCAAGCATGCTCTTATTTCTCCAGACCAATTAAAATAAGAATTTCATTAGGATTGGAGCATCTATCTCCTGGGAACTTCAAGGATACACCTAAGATGTAAATTATGTGTGATTAATTCATTTTCATTAAGACTTATGTGCACATTAAATATGCTAATATTCAAGGCATTG